TAAGAGCCCTGAAGTCCACACAGCAACATTGGGTCCCATCCTTCTTCTGCATTAACACGACAGGAGCTGACCAGGGACTATCAGAATTCTTGACTATCCCTTCTTTAATTAGGACATCCATGACCTTCTCCATATCTTGTCTTTTTGCCAGAGCTATTCTCCTTGGAGGGATCTTTATTGGACGGTGATTGCCTGTGTTTATTCTGTGCTCCACAAGGTCTGTGCGAAGGTCATAATCTCCTTTTGAAAAAACATCTGCATAATTCACCAAAAGTTCCCTAAACTGAAGAGCCTGTGATGATGACAAATGGGCTTTGCTTTTCTTATGGAGGCCAGTTAAATGTTCTGGGAGAGGATGCCCTTTCTTTATGGTTATATTTCTTGCTTTAACATTGACTGGCTCTATCTCCTGGCACACAACCAACAATGCCACTTCCTTAAGTGTCTGCTCACATTTAGCCACTGTTATGGGTACTACTTGATGATCTGCCACAAGTGACCTTTCAATCTTCACATCCGCTGGCCTGGATGTGTCTTCCACTGCCTCCACAAGCATCGGGCTTCCTTGGGGGTGTTCTGTTATTCTACTCCAAATTATCTTCTCCGACATAGGGGGTATTGTAGTTGACTTAAGTGCTGTGACATGCAAATCAACAGATGCAGCAACACTTACCAGAATTTGGCCTTTGTTGTTCCCAAACATCATTTTATCAAAGTTAAGTACACACTTCCTCGGTAGTAAGTAGTCCAACTCTAGTATGCATTGGTCTTCAATGTCAGCCAAGTATACTTTCTGTCTGTCCTTTATGCCCATGAGTTCAATAGTTACCCACACTGGTCCCCACAACCTTGCATAATGTTCTGTCACACCACAGAGCTTCTGTACAGCTTCTGGTACTCCTTTGTGATCTTGCACCTTGATACTCACAAGGGTTTGCTGAGATGCAAATTCTATGACAAAGTTACACTTTTGGCCATTCAGCTTTTCTGTCACATAGACACTATGTGGACTTGCCATTTTACACTTAGTTGTTGGGACTTTCACAATGGGGTTGGTGGGCGTCCCTCAGCACCAACCACTACTGGTTTCCCGAAGCTGACTTATTGGTAGTATTCTTCTACACTGGCTCCTCATATGTCCTTGCTCTCCACAGTTCCAACAACCTTCCTGGGTAGCAGCCTTTC